CTGTTAACAGTCATAGCTCTAACCGTGTCCATGGTGGTAAGGGTGACATGTCCATCCTGAAAAGAGACAGATTGGATGAGAGTGGAGGTCAAGGCCTAGTTGATGCCATCGCGTAGCTGGACAGCAGTGGTAGTGAGGGGGGTAGCGTCTCGTTTAATGATAAGCCGACGCACGTACATGGTAAGGCCCTTTTTCTTATTGGTAAGCGGCTTAGCCGAGGTAGAGGAGGGTTTGGCTGGCTTGGGGCCAGGCTTTGCTGGTTTCTGAAAGGGCTTCCTTGCCCTCCTAGTAATTGTAGTTCAAGAAGGAGGAGCTGCGGGGCCAGGAGGTTGGGCATGGGTAGCAGGTAGTGGAGAAGCAGAGGGCTGCTCTGTAGCATGGGTGGTAGGAGGTGCTAGCGGGACAGTGGTAGGAATAGGCTGAGGTGGGATAGAGGCGCAGAGGGCATCCACTTCCTCAGTAAGGGTGGTGATGTGCTCGGTTAGCCTATCAGTCACCTTCCTGTAGTCTTCGTGCAAAATTTGTATCATGTGGATTATAATAGGAAAGGCCTTTCCAAACGTGTTTGGTGCTGTGAATCCATGTGACTCAAAGAACTCATCGAACATACTCATGAAAGCCCTGTTAGGCTTATCAAAGTCATCCTGTGAGTATCGTGATAGACTTGTAGTGGTGCCACTGCATGGCCGTTTAAGCAAGGGGGGGCCTTGAGGCCAGAAGATAGGTGATAGCTGACTCTGCAAAGCCCCATCAGGCTACATAGGAGGTTGCAGAACGAGAGGGGGTAATGACCCTATGATGAAAATGATGAGGAGAAACTTTGACCCCAGGTGGGCTAAAGAGAAGGTATCGTGATGGATAAGATAATTCCCTGGCAAGTAAGAAAGGGTATCCACAGGAGATTACCAGATTGCGTAAAGAACATAAAATATAAGGGGATACACCCCCTTATATACAAGAAAATCCTTCCTGATCACTAATACAAAAGAAAACCCTTGGTGTTGCACGCAGCCATGATTCTTCCTCCATGTTCTACCAAGTTCCGTTGCGTAGCAACATGTTCCAATTACAATACAAAGGAAATCCTTCACATAACAATCAAGGAAAGTACCGCCAATAGCGGTAACACTAGTTCTATGCATATTCCATCTCCATCTCTGGGTGGCCGTGACACCATGGGCCAGCAGCGGGTTGAGCAGAGCCAGAAGCAAATGATCATTAGCATGGTAGATTCTGTTCCACCCCCTATACAGAATGGAATCTGGCCCAGGGGCAGAGTTAGAGGATGAACACTGGAGAACAGCAGAGACTTCAGCAGGTGTAATGCCTGGAACTTCAAGAAACAGGTAGGAGGAGAAAGGATATATGAAGACCTGGAGGAGGAGCAGGGAAAAAGTGTGTCAGGAGAGCTGAGTTGATCTCCATCGGAGAGTGTGCATTGGGAAGTGAAGGGAACCTTCCTGGAGCATGCCCATAGGCGAATTTCTTAGCTGTCCATATAGACTAAGAGTCAACTCCAGAAAGGAATGTCCTTCAATGAGCAGCCTTGGCTCTAGTGATGGCCTTGAAGTAAGCAGCATGACCTAGCTTGACCTGGACTAGGGAGACCTCTTGGCGCCATGCAGCATGTGGCACCGAGTAGTAACAGAGACGAAGTTCTGATAGGTCAGGTGACTAGCAGGGTTTAGAGTAAAGGGAGGGCCTCTTCAGGGGAGTTACGCCCAGAGGGACCAAGGTGATAGATGGAAACAGAGTACGGTACCGGTATAATACTTGCACTGTGCTCGAGTCTGTATCGTATCTACCCGTACCTGCATCCACCAGTCATGAGGTGGTTGTCGCCCATATCTAACCAGGAGGGGAAGGAGCATGCCTTCAAACAGAAAATAAAGCATGCCAATACATGCCCAAACAGGAAATTCCAGACGAGTAGTGCAAAGTCCAACCAAGCACTGCAAGTACTGTACTGTATCATACTTCGCTACTTTGAAAGCAATCGGACCTGTACCCCTTGGGCATCCATGTACCAGTAGTCAATAATCCGCGGGAAGGGAAGAAAGAAGGTGTGGAGGATATCCCAGTAGAAATTGGCTGGTGGGTTCAGGCTTCGTCTTCTAATGTTTTTGTTGGGTCCAGACTGGGGGAAAGTTACTGGGGAGACAGGGAAGGAGAATTGCAGGCCAGTAAGGTATCTCCATCTGAGAGGCATTGCAGCGTTTTGTTCAGAAACTGATGATACTCCTGAGAGGCACTGGCGCAATGCAGCCTTCCGCGCCAAACCTTTCATATGAGCATGATACAGTATCATACTGTGCCCTACTGTGCCCGTACCGGCTCTGACACTACGGCGTGTTATAGTGCTGTGGCACCTTGCGGTGTTCGCCCCCGCGTTAGGGCAGGTAATGGCAGAATGGTAACGTAATCTACAGGGAACCGGGGTGTCGCAGGGATGGGGGATTTCCTTTTTTTTGTCTCAAGTAGGACAAAGTAATAATAGATACCCTACTTGTGATACGATGTGAATAACAACAGAAGTCAGAAACCTCACGATGGGAAGAACGAAGCCTCGCACCAATGACTATCGTGAAGAGTCACTCCAGAAAGCAATAAAAGCTGTTCAGAATGGTCTTGAAGGAGGTGTTCCTGCTGCAGTGGAGATCTATGGAGTTCCTCGATCAACACTATACTACCGTCTTTCGGGGGTACAGAGGAGCCGGTATGTGTCTCATGTTATCCAGCAGTGCCTGCAGGAGAGTGAGGAGAAAGCGATTGTGAAGTGGTGCTTCGATATGGATGATAGAGGCTTTCCTGCTAGGCTTGATAATGTTAGGGAGATGGCACTTCATTTAGAATCAAAAAGATTAGGAAGGATAAGTGAACCACTAGGAAAGAATTAGATAACTCGTTTTCTTAATTGACATTCAAGCCTAGCGATAAAATTCAGTACCCAACTAGAGCGCCAACAAGCTCAAGCGAATGATCCGCGTATCACAAAGGATTACTTTAGAAAACTAGCGAAACTGGTTAGAACCCATGGTTTGAAAGCCTGCCAAATATTCAATATGGATGAGAAGGGCTTTCTTATGGGTCAGGTAGTATGAGCAAAGGTTCTGTGTCATCGGGGAAGGCGAAACCCCCAGGTAACGCATGATGGTGGTCGCGAACTTGTAACTGTTGTTGAGACAGTTAGCACAGCTGGGCTATCACTTTCTCCTCTGATTATATACCGAGGAAAAGCCCAGTACCTGGGCTGGTATGCAAACTTAACTGCTAAAGAGGATGATTATCAGTTTAGCTATTCTCCAAAAGGCTGGATAGATGACCAGCTTGCACTCCTATGGCTTGAGATACTATTTGAGCCTCAAACTGCCAAAGTGGTCGGAAAATTACATCGACTTCTTATTATCGATGGGCATGGCTCCCACATCATCTATGCATTTGTTAAGTTTTGCATTGAATACACTATACTCCTTCTCTGCCTTCCCTCACACTCTACCCATCTCTTGCAACCTTTAGATGTTGGACTCTTCTCTCCCTACCAGCCCTTCTATGGTTTAGCAGTTGACAACCACATGCGCTCCGGATGAAATGCTGGTGATAGTATCAAGAAAGCAATTTTTTTGCCTTTTGTTATGGAGGCATGGGTGAAAACATTTACTTCACAAAGCATACGTCATGCTTTTGAAGTCTGCGGTATATGGCCTCTCTGTGCTAGGAAAGTTTTAGGAAGAATGGTACCCGAAGCAGTCGCCCGTCGTGATACTGTAGGCCTCATTGCAACTCCAAGAAAAAGTAAAGATATCCACCATAGAATAATGGCAGCTGAGAGAATGCTAGATGAGAGTCTAGCATTATTATCGCTCTCAGAATCTGGACAACTACCACCTACGGCACTATCGAATTCTACCACTCAGCTTACTTTATCAGTTAAAACAATCCTTCGAGGCCTCGGCCATCATCTTGAGATGGAAGTTGCATAACGAGAGCTGTATCAAGAGTACTCATGCCGCCTGCAACAACCTGTACCTCTTAAGAACCAGACTGACCGCCGAAAGCTTTCCGAAGTACAAATCCTATCTGGTGCATAGCTTATAGGATTGAGGAATGCTAGACTGGAAAAGGATTCATGAAAGTGGGGACAACAGCCAAAAAGTCATTCCTGAAAGGCCATTCAACTCAACAAACCTAAGCGAACCACTTCTCAACCTCAAGCAACAAGCATAGTCACATCTACCGAGATCTGAGAAGGCTCAGCATCTGAAGAGACTCAAGATAATGATATTGAGATATTAAGTGATGAAGAGTGGAATTTGGACCTGGAAACGTCCGATACTTACCACCAGACTCGGCATACAAAGGTTGCAAAATCCTCTGCAGTGGCTTCTTCATCTGTGGTACCCCCTCTAGATATGCACCTTCGCTCACGAAAGACCTGACTCTTCCTCCTCCTTTCAATTCTCTTTCCTACCCTCCTGTATGGTATTGCCCCCTCTAATATGCTTTCTTTTTATTCTTACTAACTTCTGAACTCTTTCTAGTTTCTTCTCTTATGGCCTCATTCTATTTCCTTGGTCAGGATTATCTTCCTTCTTTTCTTACCTTTTTCTGACTTTCTGAGCACTCAGTATCTCAAAAAGAAAACGCACGGGGGTTGTCTCAGATATTGCGCAATGCCGGATCCCGGATCTCAGTGATGTCTCGTTTTATGATAGTTGACGTTACGGTAGGGATGATTTGAGCTTTATTGTAGGTGAGGCAAGCCACCGTATGATGGCGTGGTCGTCGGGGCTCCGACATTGGCGTGGGCTTTCGCTTTTGTTTGTGCATTATCCGTCGCTTGATACCCCGCAATACCCCGATTGGGACCCTGAGCCTCCTGAGCGCTTTTTTGAGCCGCAAGATGGCCCTGTTTGCCCACCCCTGAGCTCCACCCGACACCCACATTTTACCACTGTGATATCAACTAATACCATCTTTGAATCCTACATCATCTGCATATAATGCTGATCGGAATCTGTGGCCGTGCGTATCAATACTCCAGGGCCCGCAGGGCTTGTATGGACTAATGATTATTCCAATAGGTCTCTGCGCTGGGAAGACGGAAGTAGCAAGGTACCTGCAGACAAAACATGCCTTTACCCTCCTTCAAATTGCCGCCACTGGCGACGGCCGCAATTGCCCATCGTGGACCGATGGGGAGAAGAGCTACCCCTCGTCTAAGAGCCTACTCGACCACGTAACCCAGCACTGGTCCAAGAGGTTCGTTATGCTGGGAGTGGGTTCGGTGGAGCCCAGGGTCCTGGACAATTTTTTGCGCCGCCCATTCTTCTTGCTATTGAGCGTGGACGCACCGACATTGGTTCGATGGCAGCGGTATCAAAAGAGGTTCGCCACATGATATTTATCTGTACGAGGGAGGTCATGTTGATCGAGTTGCGGGAAGGATTGATAGTTCATCACAAGAACGGACCCTCGAGTCCTTCGTTCAGGAATGCGACACAAGCATGTACCACCCAGACCACGGGATGGCACACCTTGTCCAAAGGTCTACCATCCGACTCCTAAACACGACGAACTCTCTCGAAAGCCTACACCAGAACCTCGACGTCCTAAGTCTCGAGGACGAATCCCGCCTACGGCCGAGCTGGGACGCCTACTTCATGCAACTGGCCTCCCTCGCCGCGCGCCGGAGTAATTGTATGAAACGCCGTGTTGGGTGCGTGCTCGTCCGGGGGAAGCGCGTTATAGCAACAGGTTACAACGGTACGCCGAGAGGTCTGGTGAATTGCAATGAGGGTGGCTGCAAGAGGTGTAACAGTGGCACTTCAAGAGGGGTTGGGCTCACCACTTGTCTTTGTATCCATGCCGAGGAGAACGCCTTGTTGGAGGCGGGGAGGGAGAGAGTTGGAGATGGGGCGACGCTGTATTGCGATATGTCTGTACCCGCTATTGTTGTTGAATTGGTGAGTTTTTCGAGTTTTTACTGATCAGTGTGGTTGGGTATAGGTGCCCGTGCTTGACTTGCAGTATTAAAATTGTGCAGATGGGCGTTGCGGAAGTGGTTTATAGTCATGAGTATAGTATGGATAATGAGGTATGGGAGTTATTTTCTGTTGGGTGAAGTAGTGGCTTACTGGATGGTAGACTGCGATAGTTCTAGAAGCTGGTGGGGTCAAACTTCGAAAGTTCTGCCCTGTATGTTTGGCACCATCATGTTAGGAAACCGCGAGCGCTGACCGGTGAACAGGCTAAAGAGGGATTGTTATCCGTTTGATCTGCGTTTGGGAGTGGCGGTTGGTGGTGATGGTGTCAAATGCTTGAGTGAGTTTATAGATGGCCCTGCGAGTAGTGAGGCTCGCAACGGTGTGCTTCAGCTGGGCTATGACAGCCACAGAATCAACCTGTGCGTGGGGATGCGAGTATCGAGGTGCTATAAACAATCTATGATGGAACAATACTCGTATCGGTAATCGTATTATACTCGTGGTGTGGCTCAAACGAGTCTTCTTTTTCATTGATATATGGAGGAGCTAAACCCTAGAAACTCAATCCTTAGTCTTGGCAAAAAAAGTTGGGTGTCAAGAGCTCGCTCGTTCCCCCAAACATGCCTGAGATGAAACTGCCCTTGCACAACAACAAGTGCGGTCGATAAATATATTCGTCACGTGCCTTATCTAAGGACAAATCGCAGCCAAAAGATGCACCGAAACTTTCTTATTAGACTCACGTGACGAATATATCTATCGGCCGCACTTGTAGCCCAAGGCAAACCAACCACACCATACACACCCGCCGCCACCCTCGTCCGGCTTTAAAAATGTCAAAGGTTCACCTGCTGGATACAGTATCGTAAGTCATTCGACCCTTGATTGTCAGTTCCCAACTGTAAACCCCCAACGGGAAGTCTGAAAATTACAAACATGCTAGGGGAAACATCTGCTCTCTCGTGAACGCGATTGAGCGAGTCGGCTGTGAGATCGAATGGATTAAGTCGCCGGAAGACCTTGCCACCGCCGAAGTACCCCACTTTCCCTACTCCCTATCAATTTTCTCCGACTAATTGCTCCTAGCGCGTCATCTTCCCAGGAGTCGGAAACTTCGGCCACTGCATGCAAACCCTCTCCAATGCCGGATACACTGAGCCACTAAAGGCCTTCATAAATAGTGGCAAACCTTTCATGGGTATCTGCGTAGGTTTGCAGGCGCTCTTCACCGCATCCCAAGAATCCCCTTCGACCCCCGGGCTCGGAATAATTCCCGGAACACTGAGGCTCTTCGACTCAGCCACGAAGTCCGTTCCGCACATTGGGTGGAATTCTGCTGCTACGAGAGGGGGCATTGAAAGGTCGTTTTATGGGCTGTGCCCGTATAGCAAGTACTACTATGTCCATTCTTACGCAATGCCGGTGGACGGTGGTGTGCTAGCAGGCGGATGGGACGTTGCCACGGGGGTATACGGCGAGGAAGAGTTTGTCGGAGCCATTGGCAAGGGAAATGTCTTTGCTACACAGTTCCACCCGGAGAAGAGCGGTACCGCGGGGTTGCGCGTTCTTAAAGCCTTCCTGAACGACCTTTGCACCTCACCCTTAACCGACGTTCGAGTGGCCGAGCGCGCCGAGAGGTCGGGACTAGGAGGACTAACGAGACGAATAATTGCCTGCCTCGATGTGCGCACAAACGACCAGGGTGATCTGGTAGTCACCAAGGGCGACCAATACGATGTCCGCGAGAAGTCCGCCGAAGGCACAAGCCAGGTGCGAAATTTGGGGAAACCGGTTGAGCTTGCGAAACGCTATTTTGAAGACGGCGCCGACGAGATCACCTTCCTGAATATCACGAGTTTCCGGAATTGCCCGTTGGCAGATCTACCCATGCTCGAGATCCTTCGCCAGACCAGTAAAACCGTGTTCGTACCTTTGACCATCGGCGGGGGGATTAAAGACATAACTGACCCGGATGGGACCGTCCACCCTGCACTCGAGGTGGCGACGTTATACTTCAAGAGTGGCGCCGATAAAGTCTCCATAGGAACCGACGCCGTCACCGCCGCGGAGGAATACTATGCATCCGGCGAGTGCCTTAGCGGAAATACCACCATAGAAACAATATCGAAAGCCTACGGAAACCAAGCCGTTGTCGTCTCGGTGGATCCGAAACGCGTATACGTCGCCTCCCCCTCCGCTACCCCACACACAACCATAAAAACCGCCTTCGTGGGTCCTCGGGGGGAGGAGTACTGCTGGTACCAATGCACCATCAGGGGCGGCCGCGAAGGCCGCGACATGGATGTCCATCAGCTAGTGAGAGCGGTAGAGGCAATGGGCGCTGGTGAGATATTGCTTAACTGCATCGACAAGGATGGGTCGAATTCTGGGTTTGATCTTGAGTTGATTGATGCGGTTAAGGGCACTATTAGAATCCCGGTCATCGCGAGTAGTGGGGCAGGAGTTCCGGAGCATTTTGTCGAGGTCTTCGAAAAGACTGGAAGTGATGCTGCGTTGGGGGCGGGCATGGTAGGTTTTTTTTCCTCCTTCTGTTTGCTTCCGTGAGGGTGGGGATATCTGTGCTAATGGGTGATAGTTTCATCGGAGGGAGTTCACAGTTCGGCAAGTGAAGGGATATCTAGCAGAGAAGGGGCTGTTGGTGAGGGATGTGGAGGATGGGGGGGCGTAGGTGAGCGTAGGTGGACTGGAATGGTAGAAATCAGAGAGGTCGTGATAGCCAGAGTCCAATTAGATATTTGTCCCATGGCAGTGCTTCCTTTTATCCCATACTGTGGTTCTGCGCGGGTGGCATCATAGTATATCACTCATGTGGGCATTTCCCTAGGAGAAATAGGGATAGTGATATAGGCTAAAAATTTATCTCGTTGCTCTACGGTGCAGACCTAAGTACAGCAACTCAATCAGGCAATTCACTTGCTACATTGTGGACTCCATTGCTGTTACAACTATAGTGAAAGAAAAACCACATTAAATTTTTTGTCAAGCCCCTACCTTATTGGTTAACAACTAATTCTCACTGCTTTTCTAGCCCCTCTTACAGACCTTTTATCAACAAATGATCTCCTGTTATTAGTTTTCCATCACTCCTTCTCAACTGAGTCCCGATTCCTTTACTGCTAATGTCCTTCAGATATAGGGGCAGAGCTGAGTTGCTGGGTTTGGCCTCCTCTCTGGCCTCACTTCACTCTCGCTACATCTTTGCAGCCCAAGAAGAAGCAGTTGCCAGACGCCTAGCCGATGCAGGCCATGCCTGCAAAATCTGTCCTCAGACCCACCCCTCCCTCTACGCTCCCCCTCTCAAAGACTTCACATCCTCTGAGCTTGGGTTCATCCCCATCCTGGCACACCTGATTGTCAAAGTTGACAAACTAGCCTCCTCTCTCTATGCCCAGTCTCACAGAAAAGTTGAGATAGAGGTGCCCTCTATTGAGGTCCAGACTGACCCCACCCTTGTTTCCTGCATGAAGGACCTCACCTCCAAGGTGGATGGCCTCTCCTCCCTCGCTACTCATGTTTCCTATACACCTATGTCACCTCCCGCTGTCCCTCCCCAGCAACCACCACCAGTTCAGCCTAAGAAGATCCTAGTTCAGTGTCAGCTCTGATCCACTTCAGGAACTCTTCCCACCACGGCTGCTCCCCTACCAAGTATTCCTGTCCCTGCTCCCTGGACTGATGCCCTCAAGGGCAGGGCCAACAAGGCCAAAATAAAGCAATCTGTAGCAGCCCAAATTGCCGAGGCCAGCAAGGGCCCCTCCCCTTGGATGAAGCCGCTGTTGCCAGCTACCCAGAGCCAGTTCTATGCACTCAGCTGGAACCCGTCTGGTCCTATGGACCTGGCGGCAATTGGAGCATCTCTTCCTGACATCATGGCCCGAGTCCTCTGTAAGGCTGGCAGCCCTCTTCTCCCAGTCCTAGCTGCCACAGTGAACAAGAATGGTGCTGTCACCTGGACTGCTAACCCCAGGACTCCCTCCTCCTCCTACCCCACATATTTTGGAGCTTTAACCCTGAAGCTCAACCAGACTTTCCTTATAGGAGACAACTTCTTCCAGGACTTTAGGGCAGCTCTGATCTACTCAGACCTTATCATCTATAACCTCCCTGTTAGGGGGTAGGTAACTCTAAAGTCAAGCAAGTATATTCTAGGCCCTGTAATCTTCTGTCTCAGAGATAGTCAAGAAGGCTCATAAAGATAGAAGTAAAGTAGAATGAATATATTGATAAGATCTCTTCTTCAGTCGCTGATGATAGACTTAAAGCTAGGGTATTTTTTTTTTTTTTTTTGTTTAACTCATATATTCTTTGTTAAGGTCCAAGGACCGGCATCGAGGGCTAGCTATAGCAAAAACAAAACCTTAATTCCAAACGCATTCTCCCAGGCCCCAGGGACCAAAACAACCCCCCCAAGACCCTCTGGTATGGGCCTAACCACACATCCCGCCCCGCACAGGGATGATCGTCCTCTACAGGGAAGGTAGGAGAGGGAAGAAAACTCTTCAGTGTCATCTCGACAAGGGAAAGAATAGATTAGGAGACCCCCAAGTGCCCTACATGTGTCTGTGAACGAATATGTCTGCTGTCAGGCCCACAGTAGGACCCTGGCGAAATGCCATGATGGGGCCGGCCAGCTCAACTCAGGAGATAGTGTAATACGAAGGTAGGCCAACTGGTCGTTTGGCCGGGGATGTGCCACAAGGGTGGAGAGAGAAAGACAGACAAGGAATGCCAGCAACCTTGCATACAGGGAGCAGCCGATACTGGTAAGAAGGGAGGGGGTAGATCCTGACTGTGAGGACTCTGGTTGTGGAAAAGGCTGGATGATGTCTGTGGTAACATCAGAGCCAGGAGAGGATTGTAGCGCTGTCGTAACGATGGCAGAAGTGAAAGAAGCACCAGGAGATCCTGCCGCAGAGGGAGGGAGGGAGGAGCAGGCCGGAGCACTACCTCCTCAGTAGTGATGGGACCCGAGGGCCCAGGCAGTAGGGTGCCAGCTGATCCTGAAGGAGAGGACAGGAAGGGGGCAAGGCAAACAAAGATCAGGCCAAACGATACAGTGGGAGGCTGCAACTGGGGTCACAGGAATAGCTGGTGTTTTACGGTGTCTCTCATGTAGTCCCTTGTTCTGGGAGAGATAGCCTCAATGTAGTGGAAGGGATCCTGTCACAAACTGTGACTAAGCAAGGCAGATTTCACATAGCTCGGGTTTCCGAGTTGTAGGTATGTTGGGATTTCACATGACGCACATTAGTACGCTATAGGTTATTATGTTTACCTGTTCGTGACTCACAGTTGTGAGTCACACGATGTTATGATTTTTGCACATGACTTATACTCATGAGTCATGGATTTCACTCAGGTGACGCGAGTTGCGCACCTGATTTGGTTATTATGGTTTTGATAGGCTTTAGGCATGATGAGCAGCGACTCATAGGAGTCGTCTGATGGATTTCGCATGACTCATGGTTATGAGTCACAGGGTTCGCGTGACGAGGGGTATGAGTCACACCAGGTGAAGAGCTACTATATAAAGGGGTCACTAGGACCTTGAGTATGAGCTCTTCACACGTTCTTCTTGTTTATTTCCTACCTTCAAGTTATTATCAATAAAACCTACCTTTACGCTCTTTAAGATTTATCTTAAGAAACCCAAGAATTGTCTTTCCTCTCACGAGAGGAGATTAAGTCCTAAGCGAGGACTAAGGAGAAAAATAAGGAGATAGGCGCGAACACAATAGTAGTCATAGGACTGGACTATAGGGATCGCGTAGACACAGGTCTGAGAACTATCACCTTATAGATAAGTATCCTTACCTGCCGCTAGGTCCTACTCGGTAGGATTCTTAACAGATCCCACCACCTGCCACCCACGATAGCCCAGAGGACAACCAGCCCATCTGACCGTCGAACTATTACCCAGCTGCCAAAGCCGACAGTGCAGATGATAAGCGAGATCTTGCAAAAGTGGAGTAGAGAGGAGAGAGGCCTGATGATGAGACCTCCAGGGAGGGGAGAGGACCTCCATCAAGCAGGGGCGAGATGTCAGATGAGGGATAGGATGGAAGAGAAGTCCTGATGGGCAGAAATATGAAAAGCATCAGCCTGCACATCCCAGTGGGGGTGTGCAAGGCTAAGAAAAGGTGGTAAAAGTTCCTTGGTGTTGAGTCATTCCCAATTAGGAAATATTTTTCAATGACCGGAGGTGTAGCAGAGATAGAGGATGACTGAAAGCTAGGGATTATTTTTTTTTTTTGTTTGACTCATTTTATTATTTGTTTATGGGACAAAAAAGTATATGGAGCGCTAGCTATGATGCCTAAAAAACTGCCGCCCCCCAGACCAGGCCGAATGACAGAGCTAAAAAAACCCTCTGGGGTAGAAAAAACTACTCGCGCCCGAAATCCTTCCCATAGACTACGAACTAATAACCCCCACCGCCAAGTGACAAAAGAAAGCTAGCTACCCAACAGTCAACCAAGAACAAGCCTAACCCCAAGAGCGAAACACCTAAAGGCAGAAACCCAAACTGAACCCCTCAGGACCAATGGCCACTACTCAAATCCATGATAGGAACCCCTAGGCCATATGGTGAGGACCAGGGGGAGAGAGCCGAAGCCTCAGGCTAATAGGGTATAAGAGAAACCACACCGAAAGTAGCGACCAAGAAGCAAGGAGAGGAGGTGTGTGGCAGGCGTGCCAGTAACCGTGTGTCCTCCAGGACATTCGACTATCGAGGCAGTAAGGTGCCAGCTTAAGAGGAGGTGGCAGTAGGGTGCCAGCCAATCCAACCATGGAGAGGAGTCCTAAGCAAAGCAGGTGTTTTACCGCATCTCTTATGTAGTTCCTTGTTCTGGGAGAGATAGCGTCACTGTAGTGGAAGGGATCCCACCACCTGCCAGCCAAAAAGGTCCCAAAGAGTAGAGGAGGGATAGACCCAATTCTGTGAACGACAACTATTGGTAACTGCGTTCGTGTCCAACTAGGCAGCCTCTTACGGGGGCAAGAGAATGGAGAGATTGACCGTAGCCTGTAAGCTGTTCTCTCCTACTGCAACTGTAGTCCCGGCCGTCTGTTGAAGGTGGAAAAGGGGGTTGCCGACCGTGCTAACGCCTAAGCAAGGCGGGGTAGGAAGAGGGGAAACATCACGAAGATGAGAGGCCTCAACCAGGGATGGAACCAAGGGAATCAAGAAATAAGTCAGGACCCCAAGGAAGAAGGGAAGCGAGTCCACCTCCTGTAGCCTAGGCGAGATGGAGGGAGATGGGGGGGTGCTGCTACACAATGAAAGGCACGATAGTAACCATGGTGTTGAGTTTTCAATCACTGGAGGTGTAGCGGAGACGGAGGATAACTGAAAGCTAGGGATTTTTTGTTTTTTTTTGTTTAACTCATATATTCTTTGTTAAGGTAGAAGAACCTGCATGGAGCGCTAGCTATGGCAAAAGCAAAACCTTAATTCCAAACACATTCCCCTGTACCCCAGGGACTAAAACAACCCACCCAAGACACTCTGGTATGGGCCTAACCGCACATCCTGCCACGCACAGGAACAATCGTCCTCCACAGGGAAGGCAGGAGAGGGAAGAAAACTCTTCAGCATCATCTCGACAAAGGAAAGAATAAATTAGGAAACCCCCAAGTGCCTCTACAGGCGTCCGCGAACGAATGTGTCCGCTGTCAGGCCCACAGTAGGACCCTGGCAAGATGCCATGACGGGGCCAGCCAGCTCAACCTAGGAGATAGTACAATACTAAGGTAGGCCAACATGTCATTCAGCCGGGGGCAGGCCGCAAGCGTGGAGGGAGGAAGAGAGGGTAGAAATGCCAGCAACCTGTCATAGAGGAGGGCAGCCAATACTACCAAGGACAGAGGGGGTAGACCCCGGCCGTGAGGAGTCTGGTTGTGGAAAAGGTTGGATGGTGCCTGTAGTGACACCAGAGTCAGGAAAGAGTTGTAGAGCTGCCGCGAGGGTGGCAGAAGTGAGAGCAGCACCAAGTGATACTGGCGCAGAGGGGAGGCGTGAGGGGTAGGCCCAAGCACTACCAATTTAGTAATGATGGGGCCCAGAGGCCAAGGCAGTAGGGTGCCAGCAGATCCTGGCAGTAGGGTGCCAGCCGATCCCGGAGGAGAGGAGAGGAAGAGGG